CGTGTTATTGATTTATTCATATCCGATTTTGACTTCCTGATCTTGTTATCCTGGTATAATACACTTCCGTGATCTATCGTAGGCACCTCAAATTTGGTGGCTCCTCAGATTAGCATGAAATGTCCCTCACTATACTACTTAAAATTATAATCCAGAAAATTCAGAGTAAAAATGTGAAAAAGCAAACTAACTCACCAGTATCGTCTGTCCGTGATGTGTGCATATTTTACCAAATTGAACTCGCCTTGTGAAACGTAAAAGTTTTTGGAAACAGGACACAAGCTCTGTTACTGTTAATGTTTACGTTTCACCGATTGTGTTCAATTAGTTAAGAATATACCTTGAATCTAACCATTTGGGCAGTGAACAGGTCAGGGAGGGTTTCAATTGTGTCTTTTGTATTTTCTTTTAAAATGACTTTGGTTTCTTTTCTGATGACCTAACTATTCTTTTTTTTTTTGGCCAAGAGATTCAAGGATCTACTTTTTGGAGCAAAAATTTAGCTATAACAGATTACAAGGTATACATATAAACTTACTTGGCATTATCACCTCAAAAGACACTTTAATACCCTCCGCAAACAATGTTAATTAGTTTTGAAAATGAGTAAATTAATATCTGTCACGTCGCCTACGTGGCGCAGTGGTTAGAGCGTCTGGTCTAGAGTCGCGTAGTTGGCACGAAAAAGATCCCTCACTGCTCAATGGCCTTGAGTGCCGAGTATTGGATTTGCAGCTCTCCACCGGCAAACGATGGCGTCTCCATATGAGTCCAAAATTCTCGAGAGGGACGTTAAACAACAAACAACAAAAATCTCTCACATATCACAGCAGCTTCAAATGTTTCAATTGGATCAAATATATTAAAAAAAGTTAATTACTAAAATATATATTGTTACATAAAGGTGTGCAATAGAGTTATCGAAAATGGAGATAATTAACTTTGTTACGGTCACTCATCCAACTTCTTGATAAATTTTAACCATGTGAACATACCACACAGAAAGTATATGATACATGTATGTGGATAATCATGATGATGAAGGTATTCAATCTCTTTCGAGAAGAGATGATAAAATTTTTGATCAAAAAGGGCGCCCGGGATAAAACATATTGGGGTATCATAGTGAGCATTATTACTCTGTTTAATGTGTAACTTGTTTTACTATGGAAATTGTATCTTTATTCTATTTGTTCTCATTTAAGGCACAAGTTGCAGAAATGTCGACAATCCCAGATAAAAGCAGAAATTTTGCTCTCGGTAATAAAAGTGGAAATTTCCAAGCTGTTTCTGAAGAACGTGAAGAAATATGTGAATATCGGCAACAGATTTGTGATATCATTGCAACCGTTAAATCAGCATTTGTCCAACAGAAATGATAGTGACAATGTTTAGCATTTTTCAAGCTGAAAAGGGAATCACCAATTTGAAAATGCATACATTAAGAGCTAAAAATCAGGATGTTGCCAAACAAAACACTTTTCATGCAATGTCAGAATCTGATATATTTACAGTTCTTGATTGGGCCTTGAAATTTTTACCAAGAAATTTCCGAGGGGATTCAATGGATTGGTGTGCTAAGAGAGGAATTTCATGGCACGTTTCAGTGGTTTTTAGAAAGAGAAATGGAGTTAGAGAAAGCCTACCACATATTCATATTCTTCAAGGCCTAGTTTAACAGGATCCGGCTTTAGCACATGGTGAGTTGAACACCAGAAGATTGATTGATTGATTGTATATTGTTTTACGTCCCATTCGAGAATTTTTCACTCATATAGAGACGTCACCATATACCGGTGAAGGGCTTCAAATTTTGACCTTTACTCGGCACTCAGGGCCATTGAGCAGTGAGGGATCTTTATCGTGCCAACGCCTGCCGTGACACGGGACCTCGGTTTTTAAGGTCTCATCCGAAGGACCCGCAACTTTCACTTCAAAGTGCCGAGCGCATGGCGAAGGAACAGTTGCTACCTATTTTTTATCGACTTAGGTCTGTCGCGGCCGAGATTCGAACTCACGACCTCCTGATCACGGAGCGAGCGCTCTACAAGACCAGAAGAAAAGAAGCCTTGGTGGCAATATTGTCTGAAAGACCAAAGGTAGCTATGTGAATAGCTGAGGGGCTTAAGTGCTGGTATCTTCATATGAATTTTCTCCTTGACAGTTTTCTGAGTTATTGATTGGTGAAAGTCCACTTACAATGGTTGGGATGTTCATCGTTATAGCAGCTGTTTCTTGGAGAACTGGGGTTGATGGGGTTCCTTAGGTGGGATAATTGTAATGGATGGTGTCGTCTTGAATGTGCTGCCATTTGGAACATTGTTTACTGCCAATCCTTAGACTTCACTGGCACTTATTGATTGATCGGTCACACTGCTGCTATCCCTTTAGAATGGCTAGGATTTCATCAATCTGCTCATGTAATGTCCCAGTTTCACCAGGATTTTGAGGTAGTTGAGGATTAGGCACTTCACAAGAACTACATGTTGATGAAACTTTGGCTTGCACTGCAGCATCCATCATCACAGGACTCTTAACCAAAGATATCTGTGTTGTTCTTTCAACTGTGGAGGCAGGTGAAGTCTGAATTGTTCTTTCTGTTTTGTTGTTGCCACATATTAGTTCCAAGATCTCTTTTTCATCTTAAACCACAATGACTTTATCAGTTTGAGAAGTGGGGCTCACTTTCCCAGCTTCATGAAATACGACTTGCTGGTCAAATCTGCTGATACAGCGCTGTTATCTTCCGTTCCTTAGACATCTGCAAAGACAACTTTATTTAATCATCTGCACCAATGCAATGCAAATTTAACATTTTTAAGTAAAAAAAAAACATTTTGTTATACTTCCATTAAAACATTTCCAATATAAAGTGAAGAAGGTAAAACAAAATTATATTTCGGATAAAATCATAAATAAAAATTTCGGTAACAACCTTTATCCTATTATTAACAAAAAATATTGGAACAATCATGATAACTTAAAAGGCTGTATCTACTAGAAATCTAGAGATGTTACCACTGTTTTCTCTTTCCTGTGTTATGATTTTAATGTTTCTTTGAATAACCCATGTGACATAAAACAAAAAACTTTTTTTTTTTATTTTCATTAAGATAATATAAAATTTACCAGGATATAATAGACTAATTTTTGTGTTTACTTGTCTTCAAATTACAATACCGCCGCATATGTTTGCAACGAAATTAAATGACATTTATAAATGTTTAATATGGAAAGCCGTAGGGTATCCCCACATTATTATTATTTTTTCCTATATAATTATACCAAAAATAATTATCTCATCCAAAAATAAAAATCTTGCTTGTTTACATCGCGGCTAGGAGAATGTCACAGTGTACCAGCCGTAGTAACTTCTCTGAACTACCTAGATATGACGTCATAATAGCATATGACGTCAAGTCAATGCATACTTGAGCTGACATGACGGGGAAAGTGTCATAACTTTTACATTCCTTTCACATCACATGTAGAATTTTTTTACGTTGATGTTAAAATTATGTGTCTTGATTGTTGTTTTAAGGCTGTTATGATGGTGAATATTTGAATTATAATATCGTTATTCCTTTTTCTTGTCTTACATGTACGTATTCAAACAATTACAAAAAAGAATGTGAAATGCTCCCTCTTACACATCCGTAGACAGAGTTAGAATTTACAAATCTTATATATGTTAGAGTGGCACAAGTGAATAATAAGGATTAATTGAAGATATTCTGTGTGAATCTACTAGAGAAATATGTCCTCTAACTGAATTTTGCTGGGGGATTGTATGTACTTTATCCTATTTTGTATAAATTGCGATAAAGAGTGGAAAATGACTTCTTGTATGTGGTTAAGTTGAATTTCTCGTGAAATATTTTCTTATGATATGAAATTCAGACTTGCCCCCCAGCACTTTATATATACCCAAGAAAACGTTTAATTGGTTTATGTAACAAGCTGTTCACAGTAATTTTGTTTTTCACTTGTGCCGATGCGTTTTTATTGCAAAATTTAAGAAAATTTATAAGTGTCTGTCACGTGATCAACACAGTCATGTGACATCACAAAAATGCTTTTTTGTAATACCTTATTCAACTTTCTTTACAACTTAACTGTGTATGTATATATAGATTACAAATTGAAATCAAAACATTGCTCAATATAAAATAGTTTATATTTAATGCATATTAAGCCTTCGGACAGCCTTAACCTAGCTGTGATTATTATTTTTCAATTTGGGTACCTCCACATTATTTATAATTGTACCATAAATACTAAGAAAAACCACCCCAAATAAAAAAAAAATCTCTGCCTTATTTTAACAACATTATTATTTCCCGGCAAAAATTACAATTATCACGTTCCATACTACCATACTATGTGTACAAATTATCTTTATTTAGCCCAATTATGGAAAGCCGTAGGGTACCCCCACATTATTATTATTTTTTCCTATATAATTATACCAAAAATAATTATCATCCCAAAATAAAAATCTTGCTTTTTTTTCTTTTTTTTTTTCTTTTTTTTTAACATTATTATTTTCCTACAACAATTATAATCTTGTCCGTCCATGTGTACTCATTATTTTTATTTTGCCCCTACATTATAATAATTATTCTCACTTTACAATTATAATCTTTTCAGTTAGTACGGAGACATTATTTTTATACACCTCCAAATTATAATCTTGTCAGTCGATTCGTACACATAATTTTTATTTTGCACCAAGATTATAATTAATCTTGCCTCAACAATTTATAAGACTTCACCTCCTGTAACAATAATGTACTGACTGAAAATAAATAAAAATGTACACGCTTAAAAATTATAATGTACCAAGTCGACGTTATAATCTTTGCAACAATAATAATGATGTGCGCCCTTGTTCGCAATTATTTTTATTTTTCACCAGGAAAGATAACTTCTTTTCTAGTGACAGGAACGAAAACTCTGTCCTCCTGTTGAAAGAATAATTATGTTGAGACGCGATTATAATTGTGACTGCACACATTATTTGAAGCGTGAAGGAAATATTATCTTGAGCGTGGAGAAATATTATTTGAAGCGTGGAGAAATATTATTTGAAGCGTGACGGAAAACAAGCGTCGATGCGAGGGAGATCGTCACGTGAAAAGGCCATGTGCGCTGTTCGATCATGTAAACAAAGTGGAAGACAGAAAGTCCAACGTTAGCTAGGCTATAAGAGGTAAGTAAAGACTAATCATTAATGTACATGTAAATGACTGGCATCATTCAGATAATGTCTCTTGAATCAGCTGTCAGTTTATTGTAATTAAGCTAGAGCTACCGAACAAACAGGTAGTTCGAATTGCCTCAGACAGATGTCAGAAATAGATCATGTGCATAAATGTGAGATTAAGCACATACTAGTACTTTATTAAAACCACCTGCCTGAGCATATAGGGACGATCATTTGATTGGGGGGGGGGGGGACTGATAGATTAAGGAAATAAATATTTTAACCTCTACCCCACCCCTTTATGAAAAGGTGGTGACCTTAACATGGTGAAAAATGTTTTTCCTAACCAAAATTATTTCTCATCTACCATGTCTACTACTTTGTACATGCCATAATCATACTCGTACATGTACCCGTTGATATTTTTTAGCTTTTGCATACAATTTGTCTTTCTGCCACAGATTCAAAGAGAATTCAGATAGAAAATGGAACTATTGAACAATAAATTCTGCCTGGAAGCAAGAACTGGGGAATACAGTGCAAGGGATACCCGCTGCTCTATTTCAAAAGTTATTGGTAAGGTGATTAAGTCCTTGATAAATATCATTAAAAAATATAGCCTTTGTTAACAATGGAGAACTTAAATATTTTCCAAAAAGTATTTTTCTTTGTGGGGAGAATCTGGGTTCAGCTGGAATGAGGGACTGTTCTCCCTTTAAGCCAATTAAAAAATTATAATGTGTTTGTTTTTGGTAACATGCCAAAAATATTAGGGAAGGTAGGTAGGCGATAACTTTTTTTTTTTACTTTGCTTTTTATTAGCTCACCTGAGCCAAAGGCTGAAGTGAGCTTTTCTAATCACATTTTGTCTAGTGTCCATCTGTCTGTAAACTTTTCACATTTTTTACTTCTTCTCAAGAACCACTTGACCTACATGTATTTCAACCAAACTTAACAACAAAGTATCCATGGGTAAAGGGGGTTCAAGTTTGTTCAAATAAAAGCCACGCTTCCTTCCAACTGGAGATAATTACAAATTAATTTAGTGAAAAATTAATATCATCTTTTAAAAATCTTCTTCTCAAAAATCTGTGGGCCAGGAAAGATGAAACTTTTGTGGAAAAATCCTCAGGTAGTGTAGATTCAAGTTTATTTAAATCAGGGGTAGGGTGGGGCTATAATGGATTATCAAAGTTTTACATAGGAATATATAGGGAAAATTTAAAAAAATCTTCTCAAGAACAGCAAAGCCATGATTAGTCATATTTATATGGAAGTTTCTTCAGATAGTGTAGATTCAAGTTTGTTTAAATCAAGATCCCTCGGGGAAGGTTGGGGCCACAATGAAAGTTAAAACTTATAGGAAATTAATCTTTAAAAAATCTTTGAAAGCCACAATTAGTCAAATAAATATGGAAGTTTCCTCAGTAAGTGTAAATTCCAGTTTCTTCAAATCATGCCCCACCACTTTAGGGGTAGGTTGGGACCACCAATATGTATTTAAACTTTTCAATACTGAACTGATTTCTGCTTTTTTTCTCCTAGCCACAGTGCTCGGGTGAGATATATGGCCTTTAGGGCTCTTATTTTGTAAGCATCAGTCAAATATTCAGTATGCCGCTGTTTTTTTTTTTTTTTGATTTTTGTTTTTTTTTTTGGTCATAGTCATATATAAATAGTTAAATACACATATGAATAAAATGTACACAACAAAACAATTGTACTCATTAAAACACTTGGATAGACATGTTTTAAAAGTATCATGGGGGACATCCTTGCAATGCCAGGGGTCCTGGGTCCTGGCTAATTTCATGTGATATTTTAAGTCTTGCTTCTCTCATTGAGAAGCACCAATCAAATTGAAGCTTTCAGAAATATTTAGATATGATAATGTAAACAGGAAGAATCACCTGTTACAAGTTGTTTATCATAGAATATGGCTTAATGTGATTGGTTGAGAGATGAGAAAAACAATGGATTTGAAAATTCCCCTAAAGATAATGCTACAGTCAGCCCATGATATTAATGAATGAAATTGACCAGGGGTCCCATGCAATGTATTGAATCAGGGCCCCTTGGCATTGCAAGGAGGGGGGGGGGTGTAGCCAGGACAAGTCACTTCAGATGTATGACACTCCTAACCATTTTACAAGGGTCTGTTTTTCCTAGGGGGTCAAAGACCTTTTTATTTTTGCTTATTTTCTTAGGCATTTAATATTTTTGTAAATTCCTTGTGGGTCTCCTGTAGATTTATGCTTACTGTATGCATAGCATTGCATTAATATAATTATGTACTATTTAATGTAAAATGTTTTGGCATAATTATTAATAGTGTTATTGGTTTTGTATTCATCACTCATATAACAGAATGTCTTTTGGCAGTTTACCTTATATTATTCATCATATTGTGTACATGAATAAAAGATAGAACAAAAAATTTAAAGCCAAACTCCGTTGACCACAAAAAAAGGACTTGTGACAAATGAAATAAAATGTAGATCATAGATGCATTATTTCTCAAATCCATCAGCCTGGCTTGATTTTCTTGAACTTGGGTCTCTTTTTCTGTTTTGACCTGGAAGTTCATCTGATCCAATGGTTCAAGAGAGCTTAAGGACATACGCAATGTAGTTTGAACTTTATTGTCATTTTCCTTGGAGTTGTAGAGTTCCAATACTTAAAGGAACTGTGTGCTACATTTTAATGTCTATATATTCGGTTGTACACTTCTTCTTAAACAAGTTTGGATAAACATCTAGAATATATGTTTAGTAATTTTCGTATATTTTTCTTTGAATATTATACAAGAATTTTGCATCAATTGGTGTCTTTTCAAAACCCCTGGTATTATTAAATAAAAATACTCCACCAAAGAATTGTCAAATAAATTGCACCTTGAATTTTACAATGAAGTCTATGGGGAGTGCAGGTTTTATTAAGATATTGTAAGAAGTAATTTGAATTTCATGTAGAGCTCTAGGTGAAAATATGCATAAACTCTCTCTTTATTAAAATATGAAATAAAATGAATCATTTGCCACAGATATTTTGATAAAATTAAATTTTTGGGTTTTTCATCAAGGGCAGATAACTCTTCAAAAAATGTTAAAGTGCAAAATGACAAGCTTCTTTCATGTTATCAGTCATGTGAATTTGGTTCATTTCCCTTTCATCATTATCTAGCAATACATTTTTAACTAGTTTAAAATGATTCAAAACGGTTCAAAATCCATTCAGTATACACTGAATACCTTAATACATGTATCAGACTTTCTCAACAGAACTACTGGACTAGTTTTAACTAAACCTGGCACAAATGAAGGAGAAATTTATTTTCAATGAGGAGAAAACTAAAAAGTAATAAAATTTAAGTAAACAATAAATCAATTTATTTTGGCATGAAGACCATTGGTTTCACTAATAGGATGCTTCCTTTTCATACTAGTTATCATGAAAAAAATTGGCAGGAAAAAAATTCTCCATCTCAGGTTTCCCTTGATTATGCATGGTAATTATAAAAACTCTAACTGTGTTTCAAACTTTTTATTTCAGGGAATTTGTGATAGAAGATTGTGCAGATCTGGACAAAAATTCAATGTGAATAACTTTGAAGAAAGAAGTCTTGGCAAATTTCAGAGAATTTTTGATGGAAGAATATGTGTTGTTCCTGAACATTTTGCACATGAAATTTGTCCTTTTGACATCATTTGACACTAATTGGAAGTGATGCATTTTTGATAAATTTGTACATGTATATGAAATACTCCATTTAAAGTGTCACATCTGTGTCTCAGGTTACTGCTGATAAAGTGGGATCTGCATGAGTGAACAAACTTGAATTTCTGCATTTATATTGATTGCATTTATGAAATTTGTATTTATATTTACCAAAAAACCAAAGAATGTATTAAAATTATATGAAAATGGATGATTTGTGATGATTTTTTATGGTATTTTCTTGGATCTGAATGTCAAACATATAAAGGAATGCATGTTGGAAAAGCTGGATTGACTTCTTTGAGCTCTGCCATACATGTATGTACATGCGATAATGGCATTTTTATGTATGTATATGGCAGCTTATGGTGAAGGTCGAAGTTTTTCAAATTCATGTCAAACTCCAAGGTCAAGGTCAAGAGATCACAAATGTTATTATCCAAAGACAGGTCTTGTCTCAAGAAATGTGCAAGTAAAATACGAAAGCCCTAGCACTTACCTTTGAAAAGTTATGGTGAAGATTAAAGTTTTTCAAAAGTCGAACAACAAGTTCAAGGTCAAAATTAATGGTGGTCATGGGAAGGTCTTGTCATAAGAAATATGAAGCCCTAGCCCCAACTGTTCAGAAATTATTGCCAAGGTAAAAGTTTGGTAAAATTTTACAAAAATGGGTCAAACTCAAAGGTCAAATATGTTGGTACCCAAAGAAAGGTTTTGTCACAAAGAATACACATGTGAAAAATGAAATGCATAGCTCCAACAAAACAAAAGTTATGGGAAAAGTTAAGTTTTGGGGACATACATACAGATAGACAGGGCAAAAACTATAAACCCCTGAATCATCTTTGATTAGGGGGGCATAAACAACACTGATGTATTATACAGATTTGTTCGCACTGTACAGGAACCAAATGATGGCTATAACATGGGGTCAAAACTGAAAAAAGGTAAAAATTAGGAAAATTATGCATTTTTTATGTATAGTGTATATGTGTCTGATAATCCATAAATACATGCACGCATTTTAATGTAAAAATGACAATTATGCAGTACCTCATGCTTGACCATGAGAAGAAATTCACACTCAAGTTTAGTATTCAAAAAAAAAAAAAATTACATGTAAATGTAATGTGAAGCAGTCACCCATTCAAGGGTTAAACAGGCTCGACATTGCTTAACTTGTCTAATATAGAGGGAGATTTTACCGCATCACTAGAAAAGCTAGCTCACTAGCGACTCAGTACAAGTTCCCTATATACTGTCTGATACATTGGTACATATTTCCTAAAAATATAAGCACATAACAAAACTAAAGAAAATTGTTTATTATATTGTTTCAGTCTGACATAAACCTTTTTTTTTTCTTAGATCAATTTCAATCCACACAAGAGAGAAATGAAATATCTCTAAATTTCAGTAACATATCAGTGTCCTGTTTGTGTATGTACATGTGGGATTTCATCTGCTATTGCATCTGTACATATTCTGTATTGGTAATCTTGAAATGCTTAAAGATTGATGTCATGGATTCTCAAATTAGATAAATCATCTAGTCTAAAACTTACAGGCTCAGTGTAAAAGATCTAGTAGTACAGAATTAAGTGATAGCAATAAGTCTGGCAGTCTATAAATCCATCCGAATTTAAATAGATCTGTCTCCTTCTTCAGATCCTTTTCTTTCAAACAAAACATTTTTCAAAATTGGTTATGACGTCATCCATAGGCATTTCTGAAATATAACAATACTATTACATCACCTGATTGTTGATCACTGAAAAGGACACATAACAAGAGGCCCATGGGCCATAATGCTCACCTTAGTCACCTTGTTCCTGGCTGAAGAATTTAAAAAAAAAAGTCCTTTATTCCAATGAAAAATTACCTAATATTGTGGCCTCACCTTAGCCTAAAGGTTTGTAATTAAAAATTTACTTGAACCCCATAACATGTTCTTGTGTCCTTCCATCACACTTTGAACTTTTATATGCTGATACATATTGATGAGATCTACTCAACATTTTTTTACCTTGACCTTTCCTTTGAACCTGACCTTACTTTTCTTAAATTAGAGTGTTTAGCTCAGTTTCAAGAGCTATTTAAGATATTTTTATCAAATCTTATATGCTGATACATATTGATGGGACCCATTCAACTTCATCAACATATTTTTGATTTGACCTTTCCCCTGACCTTGACCTCATTTTTCTTAGATTAGTAAGTAGCTCTATTCAAGAGATTTGGATCAATCTTCATATGCTTATACATATTGATAAGAGCTATTCAGTTGCATAAATTTTGTTAATCTTGACTTCTCTCAATTTCTCTCAATTTTGTGTTAATTGCTAAGCTCAATTTTAAAGAAAAAATTGTGATTTTTTATTCAAACTTCATATGCTGATACATTTTGAAGAGTGTTATTGAACTGCAACATAAAATTTTGACCAGGACTTTTCCTTGGACCTTGATATCACTTTTTTCTTAAATAACTATATGCATGTAACACAGTTTCAACAAAACAATTCCATATGCTTTTATGTAAGCTTATGCACTGATGCAAAATTTGTTAAGAATTTATCAACTTTGTTCAACCTTTTTACCTGGACCTTTCCAATGACCTTTTTTTTCAAGATATTATCATCAAACTTCATACACAAATGCAAAAATGCAAATTTTCATGATGCATGATAAGCCCTAGTAGGGGTATTCATGTCCTATGGTCAAATTTCTAGTTTGTAGTATATTCCCATGCAAATTTTTAATCCCATACTGTGGCTCCATCCTCTCAAAGGGCAATCTCCTATGCAGAGTTGTCATTCGTTCCTCTCTCAGACACCTCTGCAATGGGCTCGCATCAAGATTTTGACATTTTAATGTAAAAAACATAACATTCCCAGAATTATTTTAAATTAAGTTAATAGTTCTAGATCTACTTGGAAAGTAGCTACCTTTAGGAACAAAATTAGTGCAGGCATTTAATTAAAATGAATTTAAACAAACACACTATTTTTCATGTTTATCACTGTGATATATGCGAGCAGATGACAGAGGTGAATGTATGAGCCGATGGTAGAGTGCTCAAAGGGGTCTTATTTGACTGAAAATGAAACTACGCTATGCCAGGAAGTTTTCACTTAAGTTTTAATTTTTCTGCCTAGTGGTTCTTAAGAAGATTTTCAAATGACACCGTCAAACATTAATTTTCTCTTTATGACCTCCCCTTGGCTCTTCATTTGAAAAAAAATTAAATCCTTTCCATCAAATATTGTCTAGTGACAAATTTGGTTGAACTCTGGAAAAAAAAGTTGAAAATATGAAAAGTTTACAGATGACTCAACATTTATGAATGATAGACAGATGCCAGACACTCTTTAATCAGAAATGTTCACTTTAACCTTGGGCTCAGTGAGCTTAAATGTACAGTATTTAATAATAATTATAAAGTAGATGTCTGTTTTCAATATATTAAGAATGTAAATATAAATATAGCACCTACTATATTATCCACATCCTAAAATTTATATATTCTGCAGCATGTTTTTTTTTTAAATTGTACTGCAGAATATATCAATTCTAGGACGTACATAATTTTCAAAAATTCTGATTAATGTAAAAATGTGCAATTACTCTTTAGATTTTCTTAATGCCCCCCCCCCCTTTCCTGGCTAAATCTGCCACTGTGATAAATAAATCAATTTCTAATTCTTTTGAACACTGAATGTCCTTTTTACCTCTGTGCCATCCATAATTCTTTGAATGTAAAATCCTTTTCTTTCTTTACAACACTGTTTTCTTTTTTTTTTTTAAACCTGTATACTTTGTATAGCTCCTAAAATAAAATGTGCAAATTATTCTTTATACAAGAGGCCCATGGCCCACATCGCTCACCCGAGCACTTTGGCTAGGAAAAATTGGAAATCAGTTCAGTATTGAAAAGTTTTAAATATATGAGTGGTCACAACCTATGGGGGGCATGATTTGAACATACTTGAATCTACACTAAATGAGTATGCTTCCATATTTATTTGACTCATCATGGCTTAAGAAGATTTTTAAAGATTATTTTGTCATAAGTTTTATCATCTATTGGGCCCCTCCCTACCCCCATGAGTCCTGATTTAAACAAACTTGAATCTATACTTTAAGAGAATGCTTCCATATAAATATGACAAATCATGGCTTTGCTGTTTTTGAGAAGATTTTTTAAATTTTCTCTATGTATTCCTATGTAAAACTTTGATAATCCATTATAGCCCCACCCTACCCCTGATTAAAACAAACTTGAATCTACACTACCTGAGGATTTTTCCACAAAAGATACTTAACATTTTTCACCATGTTAAGGTCACTACCTTTTTATAAAGGGGTGGGGGTAGAGGTGGCAAATTTTGTCAAGTCAGATTATTTATTTATTTATTTTTAGCATTCACAGGACAGAATATTTATTTCCAGTTGATCTAAGAATGATTATTTACTTTCTTTTCTTGTCCAAAATCAGAAAACCACTTAACCACATGCAAGAAGGGTGTGTGTGTGGGGGGGATATCACAGTGACAGTCATGGTCTGACAGGGTCATTGTTTTCCTTTATTTCTAGCAATGCCAGTGGATGAAGTTAATTTACTTAAAAATCAAGGTTAAAATATTTATTTCCTTAATCTATCAGTCCCCCCCCCCCCAATCAAATGATCGTCCCTATATGCTCTTAATCAGGCAGGTGGTTTTAATAAAGTACTAGTATGTGCTTAATCTCACATTTATGCACATGATCTATTTCTGACAGCTGTCTGAGGCAATTCGAACTACCTGTTTGTTCGGTAGCTCTAGCTTAATTACAATAAACTGACAGCTGATTCAAGAGACATTATCTGAATGATGCCAGTCATTTACATGTACATTAATGATTAGTCTTTACTTACCTCTTATAGCCTAGCTAACGTTGGACTTTCTGTCTTCCACTTTGTTTACATGATCGAACAGCGCACGTGGCCTT